ACCCAGATGCAGCACAATATTTGAGTTTTGCAGCTATAAGATGCAGTATGCATCGTGAACAAACAAAAAGTCAGCCATCCGTACCTAATACATTGGCATCATTATATGACATTTTATAAAATTCTGATATCATACAAAATATCTATAAAGAAAACGTAATTACAAGTGAATGGAAAAAAGTAGCAATAAAAATGTAATTATTTAAATGATATGTTAAAAATAGATAGGACTTTAATATGAAACAAATCAAATTCAGACAATTGTGGCTAAGGTTAAACGTTGCATTAAATAGAAGTTAGATTACATATTATAATCTTGGATAATTTTTTGTAAATATAGCACACCTGCTTTGCATTGCGCATTTATACACATCACATTGAAACGTCATGACTTGATGGAATTCTTTGATGATCCAAAACATTGGGCGAAAAATGAAGTAAAAGTCGGTCGGTCTTGGAGAAAGGATGAATTGAGACTAAAGAGTAATTCAGATCTTCACAAATTATGGTAAGTTTTGCTTACCTTGAATGATTTACATATAACTTTTATTCAACATTTACCAAATTAATAAATATTTGAACAAACACACAGGTTTGTATTATTGAAAGAACGTAACATGCTTATGACCATGGAAGAGGCTTCTAAGGAAGCAAATGAAGTCTTTCCAAATCCGGAACGTTTGGACAAAGTTGAGGACAGTATGAATAATTTGGAGATGGTTGTTTGTGAAAGAAACCGAGCATATCACATGCTTGAAACTGGTGAGACAGGAGAGCGTCCTGGAAAACTAGTTTATAGCCGCCTAGGTAATAAAATTTATATAATTTTATAAGTATAATATTTATAAAATAAGAAACTTTGTTTTCAGAAAAAAATATAATAAATATACAAATAGAATGAGAATAATATCAGATTTTTCTATCTGTTTTAGGTATACGATTTTTTTATCGAATGCGACAGTATTCCTTTCCAAAATTCATGAATAAGAGATGGTTTAAGTTGCATATGCATGGCTTTAATGGAATAGGAACTCGAAAGTTTCTGCGGTTTTATAGAGAGAAACTTTGGCTCGAAAAACGTAAAACGAGAAAGTGTGTAGCAATTATTTCTACTATTTACTGAACACATATTTTGATTAATTATTCTAGATAATAAGAAAACTATTTCTTTTTTGTGTATTTCAGTCGTGAGAGAAATCGTGTTACAATGTTGATAAGAAAATTCCCAAACCTGGATCTCAAAGCTGTAGAACAAGAATATCCAAATGTGGATATAGAAGCGGTAAAAGCTTCCAAAAAGGCAAGAGGTCATTACTTACCCAAGTAAATGTTAATAGAGTAGCAAATTATTGACAATCTATTTGTTAATGTAAAATATTCGATTACTGATATAATATAGGTTTATCTCTGTAGAATATTAAAAAGTATTTTTATTAAAATATGAAATAAATCCTCAAATAACTTAGATGCATTACTGCTTAATTACGTAATGTTACACGTAATGTAGTGAATCATAGATTCTATATAACTATCACAGAAATAATATGATCTAATTCAACTATTAGAACTGCATATTCTATCCAAAAAATTGTATTATAATTTATAAATTATAAAATTTTTTTTTAATTGTGCATAAAAATGTATAGACTTATTGACGATTTAGAAAATATAAAATAAAGATGTAAAATAAGAGATACAAAATAAATAAAAAAATATTTGTTGTTATTACCTTATAATTGTATAATTCGTTCAATTAAGGTGCTTTTTATTCCTTTTTCTTTAAAATATAATACATTTCCAATAGCATGAAAAAAGGATAAAATTAAAAATTATCTACTCGATTAGATTTTCTTTGTATACTTTTATTAATTTTCTATTTATCATAATTTGCAGACTGTGTACGGTGATACAGAATTTTTGTGTGTGAAAGGTATACGGATATAACATTTAGAACATGTTGGCTGTAACTTGTAAAAAATTTAACTCCGCGTACTTTTCACACAACAAGAACTAATATACAAAACCGATTTTATTTCTGCGCGATGCTTGCTCATTTAATTTACATAAATCTCACATAGGAATTCCATGAACTTAACAACAGCTGATATTTATTACTTAATAGCATATCACAATTATTTGTAGCTACATGAAATAATGCATAAGTTAAATATTTATTCACAAGAATATACGGAATGCATCTGTTCATGTAGCTTTGGTAACACAAAATTATAACTTAAAAAGATGATAACAAATATCTCATAGAAAGATATTAATGTTATTATATCACAAAAAACTAATTTAAAATATATTTCCAACTTTCTTTATATCGTAATTTTACAGTATTTAATTAGTATATTTAAAGCTCAATTATTTCCAAAGTTTTACGAAACGAAAGTAAAAAATTGATTCAACCTACATATTTGGACTGCTTTAAAATTATATACATTAAATTAAATTAACATCTAATGCATAAAATGCATTATTATGCTTATACTTCGTATTTAATGCCTGTACATTAAAAACAATAATAGATATGGAGTTAAAATTTTACAGCTTTGAGGCATACCACAAGATGATGTGTAGAAAGTGATACTAAAATTAGTATACAATTTGTAATTATCAATTAGAAATGTTAAATCATATTGATTCCAGAAGCGGTTTAGGAAGTATTATTATTGTTTGTTAAAGCTGTTTTAAGTGTTTTTAAATTTTATGTTATCTCCGACGATAAATAACTACGTTAATATCAATAGTGCGTATTCAAATGCATACTAGTACGCCTCCTCCATATATGTGAGTATATAGACATTCATATAGTAATCAATAATGTCTCACAATTATATTACATACTCTGAGTCGTTATAAATTAATAGTTGCTTATTATGGTGACTTCTGCTACAAGAAAGATAATGCACCATTCTGCGACTTCCCTAAATAGTTATCTATACGAGGCAACTTATATCTCGTGCGCATATATTTGTACCTTGAAATTAGAAAATTAAAACTGTCTATAGCGAATCAGGTATCATGTGTCTGAATAAGGACGTTGTCCTTCTACCTATAAACCAGAAAGTAACATCGATCATTTTAATTTCAACTGATAAATATATGGCATGTAATGTTGCAACAGAAGCGAAAGAAATTTGAATTACATTGCACAAGCGGCATATCTTACGTACGATATATTAGTGTTTCAGTTTTTTATGGTTACCAAATATTCACATCACGAGAGTGACGATTTTTTTATGACAATATGATAAAATAATTTCTTAAATGACGGTGTATATTGTCTCCGATACATCTGTCACTTACTCTAAAGCTGGTGGTAGCAAATATCGCCAAGCATGTTCCAAGTCCCTGCTAGCGTCCGAACAGCGTCGCTGTAATTTATCCTCTGGTGGAAGCGTTGCCATGGGAAATTCACCCTATGAAAAAGTCATGGGCTACGTTAACATTTGCATAAAATATGCACCATTCGCGAAATATAGTCATAGTGCCGTATTTACCAAGTTTGCGTCTGTCCATAGCGCTTCCAAAACCTCCTTAAAAGCACAAAGCTCGGTATAATTCGTAAAGTATATGACCCAATCGCCGCTACTTTCATGCACTTCTCGACACATGAATTCCTGCAAGCATATAATGACATGGTTGCAAATCTTATTCTTCTCTCTCTGTGTTTCTATTCTCTTATAAAATTTAATCAAACACGGAATTCTAGATTTTACATTTAATTGATGTATGCTCACCAGTATACACCATGATTGTTGCACCAATGGCACCCTGAACGCTGCTAAATCCTTGATAGAGGCGCAAGACAGCGTTTGGCCTCTCTGCGTGCCAGGATAGACCTCCTTCATCGCTACTAGGTGTTTCGTGGTCGTGATAAGACTGCAAGGCAACGGTTCTCTCTTTTCTATACAATCAAACAAACCGGACGCGCTTTGAACAAAGCTCTGCAGCCATTCGGAGGCCACGTATTCGTCCGGAGCAGCAAATTGATATGACTTGTTGGGCTTCAGTAGTATCTCGAAGGTATGCGGCCGATGACAGTTGGGGATCCTTCTGCATCCCTGGCACAAGCCACCTTTTAAAGGTATAGCGCGCTTAGGAAGCCGCTGATTCGAATCTGTGAACATGTAAACCACGCCGCTCTTCAGGACGAAATATCCGGCTTCCCAAGGATTCGCGGGTGCGTTCGGATACAAGCTCTGATAGGTATGCGGCCGGAACATTAGATCGCCCTCTTTCATTGGCCCACATGGTGTACTAGGCGGCGACATGTGTTCGTCTTCCATATAAATAAGGCTGTAGTGTTCAATTTTCTCATCCTACACACACAATGCATACAATTAAAAATGGATTCTGCACAATCAATGCTTGTATAGGTATCAATATATAGACTACTTCGTAATCGACAAAAAGTCAATATATGCGCGAGAACAGAGAATATGGAATACAGAATATTTCATGTTAAACTCATAGATAATTATTGGAATTTAAAAATATACCATAAATCCTTCTTTCTTTCCTCGCCTCCCCCCTTTCTTAGATAATACATTAAAATTACGCACATTAGTATAAACTTTACTTTTTAATTTAGGACTTAATTATTAAGATATCAAATCTTGTAAAATCTCTTTGAAAGATTATAAAGATTTACATACGGGATGTACAGCTGTGTCAGTAAGAATTGAATTCCTCAGAATGTGCATATCCTCGTAATTCAGTTCCTTAACAGCAGGAAGCTTCGGTTTTGATGGCGATCGTCTCATGGCCATCTCTAAGTGACTGATTAATTCTGAGGTAGTTTGCGAGCTGCCAGTAGAGAACAGATACTGCATTTCGTAATCGGCATTGGAAATTAAAATAGTTTGTGCATTCGGCCCGATCTAAAACACAAAGAATACATATATTTTGATTAAGAAAATGTATAGAATATACCCAGAAAAATATAATTATTAAAATTTTTCTTACCATAATAACATCTAGTTCATTATAAGGAATAACGAATTGGTTGCTATAAGAATGGTCCAGCTTGGAGCCGGTCAAATATAGTGTCTTGTCCGTCAATAATGCGATCATCGGCTTGCTTTCACCGTTTGTCATGTACGAACTTCGGACTTTGTATACTTTATACAGCTCTTCCGTCTTGTCGCGGTAAATATGCCTCTTGAAAAGTTCGCGCAGTTTTAAGCTTACTTTCTCGCCGCTAAATTCCTGCTTCTCAGCAGCCATGTTCTCTTGGATTTCCTTGTCGAGATTGTCGTTAAAATCTTTGAAAGAATCGTAGTTCGTCTTAATTCCCTTAATATACAAAGTGTTTGGCTTTGGCTTCTTGTTCTTCTTGATCTCGAACTTCCTCTCAGTGATAGATTTTAAGAATCTGCTCAGTAACGATGTTTTTGACGGAGCTTGACGCAGCGGCGGCGCCAAGAGCTTGTTGCTGCTCTCGCCCGTCAGTATCGCCGTCATGTTGCGTTTCTTCAATGGTGAGGCCAAATGTCGGCTGTTTTTATGTTCATCGAGCTCAGACGTTGTCACGCTATCCACATCCGACCAGTCGCTCGAATTAGCGTATTTCGGATTGCCAACTTGCGGCATCTCCACTTTGGACGGTGGATCTTCGACGATGTTACCATATGCCTTTCAACAATGTAAGCCTCCTGTGCCTCGTTCTCCTCCAATTCTATTTCCATCTTAGGCCTCAGACTCTTGCCTGGATCTTCTTGACCTTCTGGCGCCCCACGCTCCGACAAAGATAAGCCACAGCTGCACCTGCAATTGCGCTGACATGGCACATCGATACACAGTTTTGATGGCGCCTGCTTATCGGCTCCGTCGCCGTCGAATGCGCTCGATGACGACGATGAGAAAGAGTAACAGTCTGAGTGCACATTTCTGCCGGTGTTCACATTCTTCTGTGCGTACGGCGAGTCTCCGTGCGCGCACCAACTGTACCTGCCTTTCTGAGCGTCCCTCCTTAGAACAGAACTGGGCAACAAGAAGCTCATGGAGAAATCGGCATAAGTCTCATCGTCCTCCAATTTCATCGTTTTTAATATGTCTTCATGAAAGCTAACTCGCTTTTTACTTTCGCCTCGTTTCTTCTTACGCTGCCTGCGCTGCACTATAGCCTCTGAACTCGAGGAAGATAGAATACTGGCGTCCGTCATGTTGATCGTGTTCAAAATGCCGTAAGGAGTGTCCATATTGTCACAATCGGAGATAGTCATGCTCAGCTCCAACAGATTCGTATCGTTATTGATTAGATAAGAATTACGAGGATCTATATTTTTCTTAAAGCTATAAGCGGAACTATCATTATAATAGGTGCTTCTTTTATTGAAGTCCTTTACATTGTTATCGATTTTATCCGTCTTATCCAATTTCGTCTCGTCGAGACTCTTACTATAGAAATCGCAGTCTTTGAGAGTCTCCAAACTGGAGCAGTTCATCTCATTGTCATCCAATTTTCGCGTTACGTTTTGGTTGACTATGTCGTTTTTCGTCATCACGACAGTTTGAAATTTAGTAATCGCAGGTGACTGCGTTGGCGTTTTGCCGTCCTCGCTAGAGTCACTGGATCCGAAATTCTTATTGTCCTCCATGCGATTGTTGATAATTGTCTTGTACCTATTATTCCGATATTTTGGAATATCATCCATTGAAAAATCCTCCTAGGAAAAATTAATACAGATCAGTGTATTATTCAACAAATACGAAGACTTTTCCGCACAATTCTCAATTAATTTAGATCTCACCTCTTTATAACTGCTGCCATCAGTTTCGTTCGCGAGATCCATATCGCTGTCAAATGCAACGCCGCTGTCTCCTGGAGAAGCTAGGCTCGATGAAACACTAGAAGACCTTAGATGCAACGATAAGACTGTTCCTGATGGATTCACACTCATAGGCCTCTGCGGCATGTAGTTGCAGATATCCAAATACGTCACATCCTATACAGTAGTTTTTATATAACAGTATCAGTTTTGCCAATTGATATAATTATCAACTATTAATATATTTAACAACGTCAGATAATTCTGTACAAATAACTTTTTTCTAGCAGCATGTTTGTAGAAATTTTCCATAAATCAACAGACCGATTGATATACAATTCGTACAAAATAAAGTGTGTATTCGCAAATAAAATGATAACCCGTTTGCCCTTTGCAACTTTACATAAAAAGGTCTATCTGTATATGTGACTCTTGTTATGTGATTGGTGTTATTTATTAGCGTGATAAGTGTAACCAGGGGGTGATATCGGTATTTACGTGGGGAAAGATACAGCAAAAATTGCACGATGTACTAAAGGTTTGGTGGAGAGAGAAAGTTGATTCTGCTCTTTGTAAAAGTGCCACTGCTTACTAAACACTTCGTAGACTATTTATAAGTTGTTATTTAATCGTAACGTACCAATTGCAACGTGAAGGACACATTTTCCAGTCCAGCAAGAAGATTGACCAGTTGGTTGGTCTTATCAACATCTCTTACGAGTGCGTGTGGAAAATACTGCTTTTTTAATGTCTTGCTGTCTCGCAACAAACAGGCCAGATAGCTCTCAAAGCTGCCCTCGCTCAAAGTATGATAGAGCCATGCTCGACCTGTACAATATTGATAATAAGTTTTAATAAGAAATAGATTAAAGTATATTTTTTCTTAGATGCTAAACATTATAATTGAATAAATTCGACTCGAATTTTCAGATTATTGTAAAAGCTCGTTTTAGACAAATAAATTAAGACAATATAATTATTTCTTATTGTGTAACTAATAAACAAAACGCGCGATTCGGTTATTGTAAAACACAAATTGTTGGTTTAAATCTACTCGATAATTAATGATAAGATAACGTTACTTATTAATATCTGTTAAATACATTGCAATAGAGATAAAGTAGCGGAAAGCAGATATCAAGCCTATAAGAGTATATTTGACATTAAAGCATACCTTTTCCGATGGAAGTCAATACACTTTGCAGTGCATGAATGACAACAACAGTGTCCTGATGACTAAGTTCTCTAGCAGTGCCCCAATATCCATGTCTCTCTACACGCAGTCCATGGCGCAATGCACGATCCAACCAATAAACTAGCCAAGAATCACCGTCCAAGACCACAGTACCATAGAGACTTTGGGCATAGACCTGTTTATAAGGCATGTATATGTTATTCTCATGATAAGCACAGATAGCAAAATAGAAATGTATGAAACATGAAGACCATGATTAAAAAAAATTGATAAAAATGATATCAAAGTTCAAGATTTTTTTAGATATGGAAAAAAATCTTTCAATAAAGTTTATCTGTTGCATTCTTCTTTGCAAAATAGGGTCACATAAAAATTATTTGGAGAAATTTTAAATTAATACAAATATGCACTAAAAAAGGTGACAACAATGGATCATCTGAATAATGTAATTAATTTGGTGAATTCAGTAAATATGCGATCAAAGATATTAAAACATTTACTCATGCTTGAACTTGAAACACATTCTATTTCTGAAAAGTTGTAGAAAATGCTATGAAAAGGTATGACAACAAAAGGTATGAACTGAATACACAGCTAAGCTATTGATATCTGTTCGGACAATAATGACATTCATAGCATATTTCATGCTAAAAGAAACTAAAAACAAAGAATTATTCACAAAACGTAGAATATACTTTTACTCCATGGCTTTATTTTCAATACTTTTGCTTTTACTATTAAAAAATTTGACCTCATTTTTATCGATACAAGCCAAACATGTGCCAAAACTAATAGCATTAATTTCAGACTTGTTTTTCTTAGTAGCACTATATATAAGATTCTTCGCACTAAAAATAAAGCGAGTACATAATCAACCGAGTAAAAGAGAAAAGATAAAGGAAAACATCGAAAGCGCAAGTAAAAAGAACGAAGCTCATATCAGCTGTTCCATGCAATGCATATCTGTATCAATGAAATGTCAATGCAGCATGACAGCTAACTGCTTTCTGCGATAGCAACTCACTTCTCAACCACGTCGTATCGTCGCACAAATGAAAAAGATACACGAACGAGGCTTGTAGCGTGTAGTTTAACCAGAAATCTCGCGTTTAAAGGGACAACAGTTCGACATTGGAAATCGCGTAGTGCTCACGCGCTGTGATCGAGCGCGCATTTCTCTGTGTGCGAATGTTCGATTTCAAGTCGCGTTGCGTCGCGATTAACTCGCAAGCAGGTTCCGCGACGTCATGACGTCATGTATATATATATATGTATATATTCTGAGTGTATATTCCCATTTTTTTGAAAATGTAAAAAAACGCGAAGAGAGAAATCATAACAGGTGGATTTATTCGGTATTGAAACAATCCAAATTAAAGACGACATTAAATAGAAATATAGAAATAACGCACAGAAGGGCGTGTAATCACACGTTATGCAGCGTGTGTGTGTACTTTATTTCGGGCCGCACGTTGCGACTAAGTCTCAATTTTCTCACGAAAAGTCTGCGTCACCTCATTAACAACAAACACCTCAGAATACATACATGTCTAATGAACAAATCACGCAAATTAGAAATTGCATTTTTATATCATGCTTATAAAACTCTTTTAATTTTAATTCAAAGATTAAAATTGGTATAATAACCAATAAGTTTTCATTGTAGCACTATAAGTGCGTTATAAATGTTTCCTGCCTTTATTTCTGACAACGGAAATGCGACAATTGATATAAGGTCAGAGATGAAGCAAATACGATCGTGTGAACAGATTTTGATACTATAATCACACGAAAGTGATCCCAAAAGCGTTTATTTCTGACAACGCGAAATTTGACAGAGTACGTTTCTCTTATCTACAAATTGTTTTTGTATAGAATATATCTCCTCACGTTTGTAGCTTTCAAAATGCAATTTATCGATGCTATATCGGTTTCAATCACTGCTTCTAGATATAAAATATATCTGCCTCTGAAGAAAGAGAGGGAAAGGCGCGTGGAAGCCGTCACCGAACCGTCACTTTATGCGTTATACGACTTTGAGGCGTGAAGCTTATGCACACATGCAACAGTAAACAACGAATATGTGCGTGTGTAGAGAAAGGCGATCTTGGCAAGTGGAGTGTCTGCTGCTCGCTCACCAGTTTGACAGCCTTTGTGAGCTCTTGCAGAATCCTGCCTTTAGAGAGGACCTTGTCGGTGCAAAGATCCATGTCCTCGTGGCCCGACGGCATCTCGCTACCACGTGCACTTACATGATTTGTGTCCCATCCACGTAGAAACGGCTCAGTGCCGTGAAAAACGATGCCGAGAGTATTATGGAGTAGACCGGACCAAGCAGCGGCTCCGACGACACAATTGCTTGGTGGAGTCGCGCTGTCGGCACACTCGTCGCCGGACACGCTCATTGATTTTAGAGGCGCGCAAGTCGCCCGCGATTTTCAAGCTACGACTGAGCGCGCAACGCGATGCGTTTCACGTCTTTATGACCACGTTTCTTCTTCCTCCTTCACGGATGTCTGTCTCTTTCAGAATGCAGCAAAACACTCTCTCTTGTTTTCATTTCTCTATTTTTCTCCTTCTATTCCATGTTTCCCATTCTAGTCTTCATAAAATTTAAAATACTCTTTACTGCTACTCCGATAAACCTATCATGGAAAAATTGACCTATTAAAATTAAGCTTTAAAAGATTACATAGATATCTAAGCTTTACATAGATATCTATGTAAAGTATTATTTTAATTTATAATTATCAGTATTTTATTTACATAATTGCTTTTTGCTGCAGATATATAGGTCATTATCTTTTTATTCATTTTATACTTAAGACATACTCGATTTTTGCTGTCTGTTACGAAATTTTGTAAAATTCCCTTAGAATACTGCTGATATCATATTGAATCACAATAAATTCTGTGTTATTTTTGTTATTTGTCTGCATAATTTGTAGTCTTACAAAATCCACCTTGATACATTGTGAATAATTTTATATTTCATTTAAATAACAGTAAGTAAATTAGTAAAACATAAAAGCTATTAACAACAACAAAAAATATTTTTTATCAGTCAATATGACTTAAATCGTTTTGTTTGAACATATTATTATTTGATTAATAACATCTTGAAAGATAAAAGAAATATAAGGAATGAAAAAATACAAGTCCATACTTTACAGAAAAATTAACAAATAACGCGCTAAAAATATGTGGTATTATTATGCAGTTTTCGCGATAAGCTTCATTGAACACGATAATTAATCCGTCAGATTCGGTCATGTCAAAAGACTTGACGTTGACCAGTGATCAACAAGGATTTGCTTAGATTACGGACGGCGGTAGTATTCATTTAAACTTATCTTAAGCTCTCCAAAAAAATAAAAGAAGCGTAGGTCATTTATTTATCTGCATCAGGTCGCCGAGGTTGTTGACAGCCTTACTTCACGGATTTCGATTAAATTCCACAAGTTTTAATCTTGCTGCCTTAATGTCATTCTGCTTTGAATGTCAAGGCCAGCGTTATTTAACATAGACAGAATGCTTACGTTTTACCAAATTTTTAACATTTATAGAAAAAGAGAATAACTGAAAAAGAGAATAAGCGCAATTTTCTTCGAGCAAAAAAAAATTATAAGACAGAATAATAATACTAAAGTATCAAAACAAAAGAGACATTACCTTTCTTTTTATCATATTTTCGAATATAAAATATTCATAAAATAAATGTACCTAAAACTGACAAATGTCTGAATTCCTAATTCTAATTGTGGTTATGTCGTCCTAATCTTAATTGAGGTATTGTAGTTCTTGACTGTACCGATAAATGCACTTGCCTATTTAAGTTTTAATCATGCATCACAGATGGCATTATAATGCGTAAAATAATATAAAATTCAAAATAAATTTGAATTTCAGTTTGTGCAAAATTTTCATAAAAATTGTTTTTATTTCTACAAAATTGTTCAAACATGTTGTGTAAAATTCCAGATATTAATATTTAAAGAATTCGCTTTCAAGCAAATATACATTCGCACACTACATTACAAAATACACGTCAGTATTATTAAATTATGAAAGATTGTAAATAAATACATAAAATAAGCAATAACGCGCTCTTTTGCAGCATAGAAATTATTGTAACAAATTTAATTTTGATGATCCTCCGAGGAACCTGCCTGATCCTTTCCATTTTTACTTTCGCATGGGCTATTTAAATTTGAATGCGAATATTTGTCCGAAGTGCACTTGGATTTTGTTTTGGATTTGTCTTTAAAGTTTCGTACACGCCGTGTAATCTCTTCTATGTATTTTTGATCCTTTTCGCTAATCCTACAACTTACATTACCGTTCGTATATTCTTCGAGTTCCCTAAAATTGTAATGAGTTTTTTGAGATCGTATATTATTATTATATCATAAACAAGATTATTGTAAGAACAGTAAATTATTGTAAGAAAATTAATTTCTTGGAAGTATATTTTAGAAAAATTTTAATTAAATCTTAAATCCATATATAAGTTCATAAAACTTTACCAATTCTTAATTTTATAATGTGTAATTGTGTAATTTTGCTTTCAATTAGAATTTTTTATTTTAAATTAATTTATTGTGCCATTATTTTCAAATTTTCTCATAAAAGTTTTTAAAAACTCGCGGGAATGTGACGTCATGCGTAACGCTACCTCTACAACTTCCCGATATTCTCGCGGTGTTTCGAAGTGGAATGGCGTTCGTTCGGTGTTGTATCTTGTATAAATAATCTGTCAAGTCTTAAATTTCGTATTATTTGTGACTTCTGACGAGTATCGCAAGTGTGCTCAAACACTGATAGCATGAAGAACATGGGTAAGTCGACTGATTAATCGCCACAATGATCGATCAAGGTAAATGATCTACCCCACACAGCATGCATATTCAAAAGACGTTCAGAGGGCATCCCGAAGATATCGTATCTCTCAAAGATATCTTCGAGATGTCTTTTGAACATCTTTTGAACATCTTATGCGTGCTGTGTGGGTCGCTTGTTTGTAGTAGTTAGGTTGTCCAGTTATATTTCGAGTTTTATTCCAAACAAACGTTTATTTCTGTCTTAATTAAAATAGTTATTTTTTTAAATGTGTATATTATTTGCATATCGACTTCTATATCGCAATGCAATTTATTCAATAATAAATGTTGTAGCTTTTTACTTTCATGAATATACACAGCAAAATACGATATAGATAAATATCTTTTAATGATTAAAACAAATTAAAATTATAAGTATAAAATATTTACTATTTTCAATTTTTTAGGAATTTTTTATGGCGCGGAAAGAGTGAGGTTACATAACTGTAGGGCGTGACGTCACGAAATTTGCGACAACTTCGCGCGGCTGTCTCGCAGTGATACAAAGTGAAATTGTGCTTGTTTTTTAATTGTTGTATAAATAATCTACGAATACACAAATTTCGTATTATTTGGATCGTCCGACGAGTATTGCGAGTGAACTTTGAGAGCAGAAAGAGCATGGAGAGGATTGACCGATCATCACAACAAATCGATCAAAGTAAGTGATTTTTGCTTGTAAAGGTTAGATTGTCGTAGCTGCAAGTATCGTATTATATTTCAAGTTTTATAATAAAAAATAAGGGCACAATTGCAATCGTGGTTCAATTTTAAGACAATTAAGTGACCATTAACTGAATACTAAAATATTTTGCAAATATTTTAACAACTTTCCAATTAATATTGTAAAATGCGATTACAGACAGCACGACAGCACGACAGCAATCTTAAAGACGTCTTATGTCCCGATTTTAGATATGCGTGCTGTCTGAGGATGTATTGTGTTTATGCGTAAGTTTATGCAGTTATGCACAAGATAGGCAGTTATTATCAGTAAAATGAATATAATAAGTAGAACTTACTTCTGATGCCGATGCAACTTTGCAATTAATTTATTCAGATACAGTATTTCTTTCTGTATCACCTTTAGCTCTGACTCTTTTTTCTGCAAAGAAAAGATTATTGATACGAAACGAAAGTTTCAGTTTTAATTAAAATAATTTTTCTACTAAATGTGCATATTGTTTGCGTATCAAGTCAAATATTGTAATATAATTTATTTAATACTGATTTATTCGATAATATCGCAACTCTCTGCTTTCATAAACATATATAACAAAATATATAACAAAATATGATGCCAATAAAATTATATATAAAATCATGAATAAAATAAATATTTTTTAAATAATTGAAACAAATTAAAATTACAAAAATCAAACATTTATTATTTTCAATTTTTTTTTAAGATTTTTTTAAAGCGTGAAGAGAATGTGCAGTTATGTAGCTGCCGCGTTTAACGTCACGTAACGATATCGCAAAAACTTTGCACAGCAATTATATTTTTAATTATAATTATTCAATGTAGAATTGCGTTCATTTTACGACTGTAAAATGAATCTATTAATATGCGTGTTTCGTATTATTTGTGTCATCTAAAGAATATTAGAAATGTATTTGAATATTGAAAGAAAAATCCATAGAAAAATCTACTCGTATCACCGTAATGAATTTATCAAAGTAAATAATCTCTTTGTTTGTTTGCGCCTCTCAGTTATACCACTGCATACCGTTATATTTACAAACCTTGCATTACATTGTGAATATTTTATGGCAAAAAATATGAACGCTTAAAAATACGCAAAATTTGATACTAATTTTTTTGTTGACACAAAAATTTGGCCATTTAAATCAATCTATTATTATACCAGTTAGCTACAACTTATTGTTGCTCAATTTTTGAAATTAGCTTTGAATGTTTGCTGAACTTTCGGTATTACCATTAAAGTCTGAGTAACTGTGCTAAGTTCATCCTGACGAGTTTCGCATAAGTGACGCGCGGTGATTGTTTCTGCGGTCAGCCGTGCTAATTGCTGCCGGCAATTTCGTTCGCGCTCCATCGCTTTATCCCAGGCTTCCTCTCGGGCGATCACAGCATCCCTCAAAGTCTGCATATCTTTCTCTAATAGTTCGAACTCCGATCTAACGCCGGGGGGTAACAAGTAGAAGAGGTTTGAACACAGACGAAGAGTAAGTCGGGAGAGGATTAAATCGTGAGGAAAATTGTGATATAAAAGGAAAATTGTGAGATTAAACTAATTAGATTATTAAACGCGATATTATTTAATTTATGACTAATTGTCATTTTATTACGCCCCAGTAAGAGGTAGTTTATGACCAGAATCTTTTTATTTTTACTAACATTCAGTAAAGTTTCTTAATTAATGGAAATTCTTTATTTTTAAGCAAAATTGCTTGGATCAGGTTATACAGATATATCATACATATACCACAAAAATAATAAAAACTCAATAGATTAATTTAAGCAATAATAAAGATGCTATGAGTATATTAGTAATTCTGTAATATTAACAGCATTATTCTGTTATTTAGATCCAACGTTGAAGAATATCGAATACTTACACGTCTTTAAGACGAACATAATTTGCAACTTTAGCGATTAAACTGTTAAATTAATGTTATATGCTTCGGATTTAGAATATTGAGATAAAAGTTTGAGTCACGGAAGATTTTGTTTGTCTGTGTACTTAATCTCTTGCGCAATCGAAGCGTGTATCCAATCTAACTATCTTCAATTTCGTCAGAGAACTTACTTCGTGATATTGACCGTGGGTGGTGCCCTTTGGCATCCTTCCAATTCTCTATGGCAGTCTTTGCAGACTTCCCACACTTGTAATCCGCGATCGGTCTTAGGAACGATATTTGTTGATGAGATACATTTGTCTTCCAGGCAAACTTTGTCGTTTTTCTGAAGTTTACATTTATTTACATGAGTATGCCAATTTCATATATCTTATATTTCGAGATATGCAAATATTCTTACGGTTAATTTTGCGAGACAGAATTATGTAGTAACATTAATTCAGATTGTTATAATTTTAGAACTTTTTTAATAATTATAATTTTTTATATTCCCTCCTTTTATAGTCAAAATAATCTTTATTATATTTATTTTTTCTCCAAAATTAGTACTTCTTTTTACCAAAAATTATCTGTTTCAAACATATTCTTATCACTCAATAAATATGTTATTCCCACCGTTTGGTTTGCTACTGCGTCAGTTAGCTTGATTCTCTCGTTACTGAGTTCATTTTGTAACATTGATACATTTTTTTGTAGGTTTTCCACTGTAATTGAGTCCTCTTCGAGCCTATATACATATATTGATTATCTTAAACGAATATGTAACAGATATTTGTCAAATCGTACATAATTATCGCATCGCGTACGGTCTTCATTTAATAAGCGCACAATTAATTACAGTGGAAGCCTCACCGCTTCGTCAAGTTCCTGTTTTCCGTGATGAGATCTCGATTTCTGAGATGCAGCGTTGCATTGCTATCCTCCAAGAGCTTCAGACGAATTTGCATTCTCTCGACTGAGACTGCAGGCGCCGATTCACGATGCCTCGTTGTTTCGTATGTGTGCGCACTTGCGATTCTCTCCATTTGAACGCATGAGTCTGGAAACGGCGGATCGCCTCTGCCTACGACGTAGAATTTCAAGTTAAATTAATATTTGTCGCTTCTGCGACTGACACGTCTCGGAGCGCATTGTTTGAACATATCATAATTAAAGTAAGACTGAGAAATGTTGATTTGATTGCATTATATGTAGTAAACTCTATTAAATCAAGAACCAAGCAAGTTAATGCCATAATGTTGGTCAATTTTTGCTTTAAATAAAACAGATTTTATTTAGATAAATACAATACTCAGTAATTTTAATAGTTATTAATAATTTGCTGTTAATAAAATAGTTATAAAATAATAGGCAAGTAATATATATATATAAAAATTTTTTACGTTCAAAAATGTTGACTTTGACATGAATTTAACAAAAAAAGTAAATTTTGCTTTAAATATTATATTTCGAAACAATTAAATTTTCTCTAAAACATAAAAAATACACACTATTACTGCAGACTTCGGAACAAGGTTTTCTAATGGTAGACGTGCAGACTGTCGAATAACAATTGTGAGGATGTTTGAAATCCAAGTGCAATCGATCTTGCTGGGGATCCATTGTTCTAACATAATGAGCATACGACATGGTTCTTGCGTTTTCGTCAATAAAACTGACCAATATAATCTCGTTACAAATCTACTTTTTTGACAGGGAAATCAGAAGCTGCTCGTTATTCTAGAAAGAAAATTTTCTTGTCTATTTTTTCATACTTTCACAGGATAAACGCGTTATCCGTTTTTCCGCAAGAATGCATTTCTTGCGCAGTTTTTGGAACATTAAAGGATAAAAGTCGAAAGGATAAAATTCTCTTCGCAATGATTGAGATTAGTAACTTTTTCGCATAGATGACTTTGCAAATTTAATCTGTCCCATTCGAGAGTTAGGTAACTTTTGTACTTTCACCTCTACCGTTCACCAGAATGCTGACACTTCTTATTTCTTTTCTTCACGGATAGTAAACGGGTCATAGGTTCGGCAGGTCCCTCACCGACCTAAACGACCAAAAAACCTTTCCCCTCGAGTCTTCACATATCCTTGTCAAAGGAATGAGAACAAAATGGATACGTTACGAAAGTCGCATGCATCGCATGCTCCACCGTGAAATTTCATTAAATTCTCTGCGTGGTAATCGCGTTTCTTTGTTTTTGCAGCAAATTCGCGATAATATACATACTTAAGGCCATCACACACAAAATGACATAACTGCATATGCATAGACCGTCTCGACCAATGAACATCTAGCATAAAGGTATCATATTGATTTACATAGCATGCTCATTGGTCGAGACGGTCTTATGCTATGCATATGCAGTTATGTCATTTTGTGTGTGAAGGCCATTAATATAAACCCTGCTAAATATTACTATAATTATTTTGAGATAAATCTTTATAAATAATATAATATGGAATTAAAGATTGCATTAAATAATTTATAGTTTATTTATCTTTATCTACAAATAGTATTCATTATTGATGTGCATACGTACACATTGTTCGTATTGTACATGACATGTGTATTATATCATATAATCATAATAATTTATTTTACTCTCTTTTGCACAGTGCGATGATTAATACAATGCGATTATATTGCAAATATATACTAGCCTGCATTTGCACGCTTAAAAATTATATATCTATACATCGTTGTACTTATTATAATTAGTATAAAGATACTTCGGAAACGGCCAAGATTTATTAACAAAAATAACAGACGTGGGATAAGAGATTCTAAAATTAATAATAAATAAAATGGGCAAATTAAGTATACAGCATACGCAATAGTTTAGTTGGAACGTATTTTGTTATATATTAAATAAAATCTTACAGTTAGATTCTCTATGTATATCAATTGAAGAAAATTGTCGATAAAGTAACGAAAGAAAAGGAGAAAGCAAATATTTCTACGAAAATCAGTCTCAGCAAAAAGTAAGGAAATAAATAGATAATTATAAATAAATAACATTGTTTCTCTTTTTTCTTTGATATTATAAGTATATTGCAACTATTTAAATTATTGAACAAGTATTAATAGGATTGCAGGTGTTAACAAATCGCGTGTAAAGTTACAATCAGTACGTACTTGTACGTACGCATTGTTTACGCATTGTAAACAAAATGTAATTATTCGGTCCTTATAATTTAATGAAAAATGGCTTTGTAATAAAATACGTATATAATTCTCTCTCTCGCTCTCTATATCTCTTGAATTACATCATAATTCGCGCAATTTCTTAGTTTTGCACGAGTTTATTAAAATTTGCATTCTAAACAAATGTTAAGACACTGACGATTGAACAAACATTTATTATATGCCCGTACATGTGTGATTGTTTATGACAGATTGAATTGCGGGAACATAGTTTTAAATACAGATACGAACTTTCACGTTCCCCACAATCTTCTTCTAAACATTCATATAGCTCTTACTTAAATATTTATTACATATATAAATATCTTACTTTTAAATTCAACCATTTATATGTATACTATGTGCAGATAAGATCCAACGACTTTATGCGTTGTCAATCTATCATCACATAGATCACAACGCGGATAGACGTTAAAACATCACGATATTTTGACAATAACAGTACTTGCGACTGTGCGAAAATATTACATATTAATGTGTTACACATTATTACGCATTACGTATTATATTAGGTATTATATTACGCGTGTATTTACGGGCATGTACCCGCGCGATAATGTTTCGTTCATTTTGTTACATTGTACATATAATATATACATATGTGTATGTACACGTATACTTTGAGCGTATTATTTTCCACATAGGCTGTTCGATGTTACGAATAGATACCTTTTATCTCCATTATTTTCTCGAATATGTAAAAAGTATTTCGTTTGTGTAAAATTTATATTACATAAAAAAGTATACGTCCATTAAAATATATATATAATACGTCTGTGATGTATAGTGTGTGTACAACGCAGTTTAAAAGTAACATATTGTTTTTTTTTATTCCTCAAAATATGTAGGCTTTTACTTATACATGCAGGATGCTTAGAATTCACTACCTTGATTTTAATAACAAATTTCGACATTTTTAAGGTTCATCATATTCAGAGAGAAGTAGCTATTACATTCTGATAAGTAATTTCCGCGTCAAAGATAAAAGATGAGGATAAAAGGTATCTTTAACATCGATCGCGCCCAAAATACTGACTAATAAATCGCGTAAATAACAGAAAACATCCATTATTATCAATTCTAAATGTTCCCTTTAATACTGATACCGTTGGTGCATACACACAATTATTTTAGATTAAGTACATCCTTATAACATTTCTTTTGATTTATGCAGTTTTCTTAAATCTACTTTTTACGCCTGAGAAAATAAAAGAAAGCAGTCAAAAGCCAATTATTAATTTTAACATTTTTTCTTCGTAATCGAGGAAAAATGAGCTTTGTGAATTACAGAAATTACAGCTAAATCTAGATTTACAAAGTTTTTTTATTGAAATAACGCAACAAATCCCCACATTATTCAAAAATCTATCAAAAAAACGTTGCTGTAATAAATAATTTATATTTCTTAAGATAAGAAGTATTAAATTAAAAACATCAAAAGCATATACTACTTTACATGCAAGTTTTAACTTGATTTCTTTGCATCTATTTATTTGATTTATTATCGAAGTTATCCATGAGTTTCTCTTGAAAAACTTCTTTTCGAAAAGTCACTTCTGAAAGTAACATTTCTCTTACTACTTACATCCTCCAGATTTACGTATGTCTGAATAGAGAGAAAGCACAATAAAGAAAGGGCACCAATATTATACAATCATTTTTAGAATATTGGCTTGGATCACGAACGAAATAACGATAATTAGATTGCTGTTTCGCAGTACTTAGCATATAAAAATGTCGAGAGACATTTATGATATTGTCCAGAATAAGGAAAAAGCTTTTGAGCAATTTGTGAAATATACAAATAATTGATATGAAAAGGATAAATTTACGATAAATATAATAATGTGCATCGCGTACGGTGAATAAATATATGTAATAATGAAGGACTTAATATTATCAGTCCCTGGACGGTGTGAGAAGGTCATACGATATTTATCGTAGATGCGAAAGTACTTGTTAACTGCCTTTTCTTTCCTTTATATAATTTCTCGCTACGGGATTGAAGTTCTATTACATAATAAAATATAATTATAATTTTCTTTATATAAGATATCTCAAAACATCGCCGTTCCTTTAAGCTACACATTTCTTTTTATTAATATGTAATTTATTCTTTACTAGAAGAAATTTTATTAAATTAAATTTCAAAATTAAAATGTAAAATTTTTAACATCTTCCTGTTTTAGATTTAAATTGCTTTCCTGTTGTGTGAAACTTTATTATTTGATACTTTTTAATATCGAATATTAAATGATTGCAGAATTACCCTTTAAATTAAAATTGTATATTTAATGTTTTATTCATAAAAAACCTACATATACATGTACAATTCATTAACTTGAAAATTATTAAAAATTATTACAAATAATTTAGAATATATTTGAAATAAATATTTGTTTTAATTTTCAATCATCATTATCTGTAGCTTCCAATTAGAACGATAGTAGTTTTGAGATATTTTATACATGTATATATCTCTTCTATATTAAAATCAGAATATATTATGGATGTTATATTAGATGAATACAAACATATATTATTTTAGCTTTATTTTATCTTTCATTAATTAAATACGATCACTGATGGCCCCTAATAAAAAAGGGACCTCGCAATTTGATTATAATACGGATATTTTCAATCTTCTCATTTTCACTACAAGGAACTGTAGAATAAAGCTACATGTTGCGTGAAATTTCGCAGTATGAGATCGTCCGTTTGTGATGGCCACTATGCTATGTACACTTCACGTATACGGAAATAGAAAATTATAGATTTCTTTTCGAAGTAGAAGAAACACCGATCCAAGATTATCAAATAGATATCAGTTACCAATTTTACATCTAATTTAAAATAATTATTATGTCACGTGTGATTGATAGTGTTACTAAGAAGTACACCAATCTCTCTGTAATCAATTGGAATAATCGAATCGGTTATTCCAGAAAAGATATATTTAAAGAACAACACTCTGAAACTTAAAATAAAAAGCATTCAAGGATAAGATAAAACTTTCGCAATTATTAAATTTTTCTTTTCATAAAAATTATTACAAAAATGTGTAAATGCACTTTGTTGAAATATTTCTAAATTAGACACAATTAATAAAAATTGGGAACTTTTTTGCAAAAAAAAAATAATCTTTCTGAATTATTTCTGAGAAAATTGATTTACGCTCTTTCTGCAATGATCGATTCGTTCGCTGACATAAGCGAATATCTTTATAAGTTCGTTTCGAATACCGACCTAAGATAATAAGATCGATGCAGTTGTTCTTTATCCAAAACGGTCTCTACACTAGGGATACCATGACGCGTTTCCGTGACGTAGAATGCAACATAGTAAAATGTCCGCTTCTGCGAGAGGACTGAGCCGTCAGAGACGTTGTCACGGTCGTCCTTGTGCTGTTATTTGTTGTTCCGGTACCAAAGCAATGATGCGGATTCGTCGGGCACCATCCCGAAAGCCAAGAGATCGCCTGCATATTCCTACCGAGCAAGAATTGCTGTTTAACAGAAAAACTCGGTAGCAAAAAGTTATTGCGGTTTCACTTTTATTCTGAAAAAATGATCTTTGTTAAGCTAGCACCCCCACCACAAAAAATTAATAAGGGTGAAAAAATGTGGTTATCTCCGCATTAATGATTAAACACTGTTTTGTACATGTTATAAGAAGCTTAAAATATTGCATAAAAGAAAATCTCAGAATTCTACGGATATCCCGATAGTTTTAAAACTTTCTAAATTCTAATATTAAAATATTAGATTATTATTATTAATTTTTTATAGTTTAATATTAATTTAATCTTAAGCTTAATTTAATTTTAATTCATATTTCTTTCAAATTTTGTCTTTTATTTGAATAATAGACTCTTAATGTTTCACACAGTATTATTATATTATAATTAATATTCAGTTAAAGTACTCACCGTACGGTTCTGCAAATCTGAGTGCTGAAGAGACAATAAATAATCGGATTAGCGGCCGAATTAAGTGGCGTTAAACTTTGTATGAAAGTGGCGACTGCGATATTTGTCTGTGTTTTTGGCACGTGTCCGTAAACTTGAAGGAGGTCAAAAACTATGTACGGACTCCAGCAAAGGATGAACACTGAAACACAGAATCGTTTTCCTTTACATTGTGAAAATTGTAACAGTGTTAATTATGTAGAAGTCGTTAAAATGTCCAAAAATTAAGACGAAAATGGACGGTAATCATACTTGAGAAATGGAAAAATTAAAAGAATGATGTGAAAAATTATTCAATGTGATTGAAACGATAATTTTATAATAATTGAAAAAAAAATTATCTTCTTTATTAATAAATTGCAATGCATCATGCAATAAATTAATATGGAAAAAACATTATTGTAACGATAAAGTCACTTCGAACAAATATGTCACAGATAGAATAAGATTAATCACTTCGTTGAGTTCAATTAAGAATTACTGTTTCTATCTTAAATTACGAGAGCGCTACAAAAGTCCTGACAAAGCAAACTCCGAGAGTTTGCGCCAATTTCATTGTAGATAACGAACCTAACGAATTTAAAATAACGAAACGTTCTATTTGTCTCTTTGGATCACGTTCAGATTTATGTGGCAACTTCCGTTTTAAAGATAGCATGTAGTCACCAATTCTTTTTACATTTTTTAGAAGAAGTTTGAATATAAAACAATGAAATCTCGGAAAGATCGGAAAAAAGTGGATTGGAAAAAGCGGAAACAGTGAAAAAAAAAAGTATTCTTACGACATAGATTTATGCAATACAAAACATACAATAAATGATGGACGATGTGTAATAAATTTTAAATAAAGTAGCCATCGAGTTAGAATTCTAAAAAAATCTAGAATAAAATGAATCGAAAAGAGAATAGAATAAAATGCATTTTTATATTTACAATATTAATATCAAGTTTTAATTTTAATGTATAGCAAAACTATAATAATAATTGATGGTACTGATATTTAATAGAACACAAATGCTTCTAATTAGAAGAATATTATATAATAATATTCAAACAATAGCATTTCGAGAAAATCTTAAATTTGTTTTTTGTTACATATCAGTTTATTCGTGTGATATAATCGTTTATATTTAAAAAATTTTTTTTTTTATTTAGCTCAAATGCATATTACGTAAAAATGTACACCAGCTTTTACTTCTCGTGCAATTTTTTTTATTTCCGTCTTTCGCGCAGATTTACGAGATTTATTAGAGAACAGAGAACTCGGACTGTTGCTATTTTTACTATATCTGTTAAGAACAATTTATTTACTATCTTTTCATAAGTTGGTTTAAATTTTTTTCTTATATTTTTTTATAAGATAAGAGATAATGTAACATTGAATTCAGTGTCTCGTGAAAACGAAGATAGCCATCGAAAATGCACTTTGCTTTTGCTAGGTTCGAATGTTTTGCCGCTGCAATACACAAATCGATGAAAAATGGTCAGTTCGATGCAATCGCCTGCACACTTTTATAGAACACGTAAAAAGTCTGTGCAAACGATTGCACTGGACTGATCATTTCTCATCGATTCAATCGTTTACTATAACAACAAAACACTCGAGTCTGATACTTCTTTTCTGAGACCTCTATCCTTCAAGAAAAAACGTACTTATTCAATTTCTAATACATTTATTGAATTATTTCTGATCATCGAACAGATGATATATAACGTATGTATATGTTAAAGATATTTTATAAATGCAATTTTAAAAATTGTCGAGCGTATAAAAAACTTAATTACTGCAGGTTGCGGTTTATTGCAAACTGAAATTTGTAGAAAATTCTTTTTTTTTTAGTTATTTAAAACAAAAGAATTATTAATGTAATTTTGTACGACAACAAAAGTCACTTATAAAACCATCAGTAAACTTTTCGTAGATTAAATTAAAGTTGAAAGAAAACTGAAAAAATAAATTGTGAGAAAAATGTACATATATTATACGGATACTATTCGACACGGAATATATATAGCCTTTCTTCATTTTTCAATAAATTCGCGAGAGTTAAGAGTTAACTACTACTCCAGCGGTGATCAAACGCCAATATTGGAAAAACTACGAACGGAGAAAAAGTATCGGTTGCCAAACACGAAAATGGCCAACCATCTGACGCACGATGAAATAACTTTTTCAACTAAAACAGCATTTATCTCAAACTGTGCAATTGCGGCTAATTCGTTTCTCATTTGAGAACAATAACTTGGATTCTTCTGTTTCTAAAGATATTGTCGAAATAATGCTTTTGATAAGATGTTTTTAAAGACACTATGAATGCATTAACGATCTGTAAATAGAACAATGACGAAATCATGGAATCCATTAATGTGTGTAATTTCGGAAACATCGTCACACTTGTGGCATGACAGACCAATTTAAGAAAACGATCTCGAAAAGTGGGTCAAAAATTATTTTGCTAGTTTTAAAAAACTCGCAGCTAATGAAGTAATGTAAAAGGACTCTTTGAAAACTGTTTGCGGTGTCTTATATATACAAGACATAATGCAAAAATATGTATATGCACATTTAGTTACTTAGTAATATAATCTTATACTTTGTAAATTAAAGAAAAAATTGGACAGAACTAAAGAAAGTAAATTATTTACGGATAAAATATCAAAAACTTAATATTCTTAGAGAAATTTTTGATGAACATAAAATTATTTTCGTTAAAATCAAAATTGTTAACGATAGAATTTAAGAAGCTCATTATTATTGTGAAATTTATTACTAAAATTACTGCATGCCTGGGATACATTAATTCACGTATTAATGGAATATTTTTAATACAAAATTTGGGTTGTATATTCCCGCATATTGTTTGATGATATTATTACGGTTTATTGAATTGGAAACTGAATGCGGTATTTCTAATATAGCAGCTATGGTTTCACAATCGGAAAACTCGATAAACTCTGAAATAGACATACAGGAAATGCGTATCACAATCCTTTTATTTAATATTTTATTTTATAGATAAAATTTATAATTATATCTAAACTAACATATATAATAAACTAACATTTTATATTTGATGATCAAACCAAACATACAAGAGATTTATTTAAAAAAACAAACTTTAAGAATTTTTATAAGCGTTATTTGCGCAAATAGTTAAAATGAAAATAAAAGAATAATCGAAAATTTAATTGCTTTAAATAATACTCTCAAGTGTAGTTTTTCATTAGGACAAAGATGTAACTTGCACGGAATTTGACGCATTCGACACTTTGTAATGTCCAAAGTAGATAATGATGGAAAAGAAGAAGGGATCGATAACTATGAAATAATATTTAGCGTATTGGTCGTCGCGGCTATGCTACGCTTAAACTACTTGAATGCGTTTCCTATGCTGTTTATGCGAAAAATACAATCGCGATTTGCTATTTAGAGCTTTCTGTTTGATATATTATAATGTAAATATAAAAATTATAATGTGTTAAAAATTAAAGAGAATTAAAATAATACATATGAATATATGTAAATGTTAAAGTAAAGAATACAAAACCGCAGAATAAAATCGTTAAACGTTATAGCTATGTAAATAACAATGCAAACTCTCAATTGATAGATACTTTTAGAAAACAATTTTATTATTTACCGCGGTTATAATTAAGAAAGAAAATTATGCTGGGCGAATAACAAGAAAAGTTGTATTGGATAGAATGACGCGTCAATAAGGAAAGATCTGTTTCATATGACTGCCGCTGTGCGATCCCTGTCGATCTGGCCCCCCACCTTGCACAAATAAAAAAACCAATAGCGCAAAATTATAAGCTATTTATGAGCTTTCATATTCCGCAAATTAAAATTTTTGAGCTTGTCACGCTGAGCATGAATTT